AAATTACAGGGGTTAATTCTGAATGAAATACAACCATCTAAATTATGTCTCTATGCATTGCCAGGTGACTTTGCATTTAACTTGTCTGAATGAAGTTCTATACTTCAGTGCCCTTATAAGCCCATACTTAGACTTGAGAAATTCTTGATTGAGGGTGTGGTAGTGGCTTGAGTAGAAGAATTATGAGGATATGAAAGTGTTCTTAAAGTGTGGGCAAGTATTACAGCATAGGCAGTTAACTTGAAGCATATGGAAGCAACTAGGTGTTTGAAACTAAGAATTAATAAAGACTAAATTTTAAGCTTTTCGCTTATTCTTAATTTATCACTCACTTCACCTTGTTAGATATTTATTAGATTCACAGACACATTTGCTTGATATGTAATTTGTTACCTGAGCCCATACTTATCTCATTGCTATAGTTTGGATGTTTGTGTCCCAAAATTCTTATGTTGAAATCTAATCCCCAATGTGATAGCATTAAGGGGTGGGGTCTTTGGGAAGGGATTAGATCATGAGGGCAGAGTTCTCATGAATGGGATTAGTGACCCTATAAAAGAGGCCCAAGGGAGCTCATTGGCCCCTTCCACAAGTAAGCATGGCAGCAAGAAGGTGGCATCTATGAACTAGAGAGAAAGCCCTCAGCAGATGCTGAACCTCCTGGCACCTTGACTGTGGACATCCAACTCAAGAACTCTAAGAAATAAATTGTTGTTGTTAGTAAGCTACCCAGTCTATGGTAATTTATTATAGCAGCCCAAATGAACTAAGACACTCACTCCTCAAGGGAGACATTTACTCTGTGTCTACATTAAACACTCATGCATATGTGACCTGAAACATGTGGTTTGGCTTGGTATACACTAAACACCAGAATATGTGCTACTGAACAAATGAATTGATAAGGTGATATGGAACTGAAACAAATAAATTGATCCAGGAAAATTTTAACTTTTGACACATGATACAGTAACAACAAAAAGAACTACACTTATATAGCCAGAAACAATTCACATTACCACTACTCATTTTTAAACATGTGTTCCTTGCCAGGCTATATGTTTGACATAAGTTTTTGGGAGCACTATGTCATGAGGCACATTTTTACCAATGAAGAAACTGAGTTACAGAGAGGGTAAGTTACTGCCAAAAGTAAATGGCTACTAAATGGCACAGCCAAATTTGAAAGCAGTTTCAAATGTGCTGAATTACTTAAATAAATGAATAAATAAATAAATGAGTCTAAAGCCCACATTTGTTAACCACTCACATAACACCATAATTCTGAGCTTACCAATCAGGTCCTGATTAGGTGGAGAAACCTGAATGAATAAATACATTAGGTTTATTTATTATGTAAATCCTTTTTAATTGGTTAAAAAAAGTTAATTGGCTCCGTAGGATACTTTTTAGACATCTAGGCCTTGGGAGCAGTTAAAGAATCAAAATATGCATCTTCTTTATCACCCACCAAAACCTAAGATAAATCCTATGGTTCTTTTCTTTCTTTCTTTCTTTCTTTCTTTCTTTCTTTCTTTCTTTCTTTCTTTCTTTCTTTCTTTCTTTCTTCTTTCTTCATTGTACCCTCTCATTCTACCTCAATTGTTTAAGTCAGTCAAGTACTTACTATATCTCATTGTACTATGCTAGCTAGTATGGATGACTGTAGGATGAAAAAAACATAATCCTTCTTCTTGAAAAGATTTTAATCTAGTTGTAGGAAAGTGTGTACACATAAAAATCTTTATGGTAACTGCAAGAAAGATGAAAACACACAAGAAGGAAAGATTACTTCTGGCATAAGGAAGCATGAAAAGCTGTATCAGGTTTTCTTTGTATGTCTGGTAAAATTCGGCTGTGAATCCACCCAGTTGAGGGCTTTTTTAAATTATTGTTGGAAGTTTGTTTATTATTGCTTCAATCTTGCTGCTTGTTATTGGCCTATTCAGATGTTCTATTTCTTCCTGATTGAGTCCTGGGAGGTTGTATGTTTCCAGGAATTTGTCCATTTCCTCTACATTGTTGAGTTTATGTGTGTAGAGATTTTCATAGTATTCACAAATGATATTTTATGTTTCTGTGGTATCAGTTGTAATACCTCATTTTTCATTTTTGATTGAGCTTATTTGTATTCATTCTCTTTTATTCCTGGTTGACCTAGCAAGAGGTCTATCAACTTTGTTTATCTTTTCAAAGAACCAACATTTTGTTTCACTGATCCTTTGTATTGTTTGTTGTTTTCAATTTCATTTAGTTCTGCTCTGACCTTTGTGATTCCTTTTCTTCTGCTGGCTTTGTGTTTCATTTGCTGTTCCTTTTCTAGTTCCTTGAGATGTGTTATTAGATTGTTAATTTGTGCTCTTCCTGTGTTTTTGATGTAGGCATTTAAGAATATCAATTTTCCCTTTTAGAACTGCTTTTGCTGAATCCCATGGGTATTGATAGATTGTGTCCCCTTTGTCATTCAGTTCAAGGAGTCTTTTGATTTCTATCTTAATTTTATTATTGACCCAATAATTGTTCATCAGCAGGTTGTTTAATTTTCATGACTTTGTGTAGAATTAAGGGTTTCTCTTGGAGTTGATTTCTAGTTTTATTCCACTGTGGTCTGAGAAGATATGTGGTATGATTTCTATTTTTTTGAATTTGTCGAGACATATTTTGTGGCCTATAACATGATCAACTTTGGAGAATGTTCTAAGTGCTGATGAGAAAGTATATTCAGTAGTTTTAGAGTAAAATGTTCTGTAAATGTTGTTTAGGCTCATCTGTTCTAGAGTCCCATTTAAGTCCAGTGTTTCTTTATTTATTTTCTGCTCGGATGATCTGTCCAGTCCTGTCAGTAGGGTGTTGAAATCCCCGGTAATTATGATGCTGCTGTTTATCCCTTTATAATCAACAGAACAAATAGCCTACAAAATGGGAGAAAATATTTGCAAGGTATACATCCAATAAAGGGCTAATGACCAGAATCTACAAAGAACTTAAGTAAATGAGCAAGAAAAAAAACAAACAATCCCATTAAAAATTGGGCAAAAAACATGAACAGATGCTTCAAAAGAAGTTAGACAAACAGCCAATAACACATGAAAAAATGCTCAATGTCATTAATCATCAGGGAAATGCAAATGAAACCACAATGAGATATCACCTTATCCCAGTTAGAATGGATTTTATTAAAAAGTCTAAAAACAATAGATTCTGGCATAGATGCAGAGAGAAAAGAATACTTATACACTGCTGGTGGGACTGCAAATCAGTCAACCTCTGTGGGAAACAGTATGGAAATTCCTCAAAGAACTAAAAGTAGACCTATAATTTGATCCAGCAATCCCACTACTGGGTATTTACCCAAAAGAAAAGAAGTCATTTTATCAAAAAGACACTGCACTCAAATGGTTATTGCAGCACAATTCATAATTGCAAAGATGTAGAATCAACCCAAGTACTTGTCAATTCATGAGTAGATTAACAAAATATGATATATGTATAACATGGAATACTACTCAGCTACAAAAAAGGATGAATTAAAGTCTTTTGCAACAATGTGCACAGAAGGAAGTAAAACAGTGGAAATCAAGCAGGGGTGAGGTGAGAGGAGGGGATGGGCAAAACCTACCTAATGGGTACAGTGAACATTATCTGGATGATGGGTACACTTATAGCCCTGACTCAAGCATTAGAAAAGTGCTCCTGATAACCCAAAACATCTGTACCCCTATAATATTTTGAAATTTAAAAAATCACACAAACTAATTGCTTTTTCCTACCACACTCACAGTCAACACACAGAATACTTCTATGATCAGCTGTGTTTTTTTTTTTTTCCCACACCAACCAGTTCTCTGACACCAGCAAGATGTTCTACAGTTCAATTTAATTTTAACAGTATCTACTGGAGTTAGAATCAGATCCCACAGGTTAAGGGCTAAGTCCCAAAAGACTGTCCCACAAGACTGTCCTACACTTCAGATGCTAATCAAAAGTTTTCAGTTATAGTACTTCCGATCAACTGACCAGCTAAAAATTGGAGGTTCTCATGATCTCCTCATTGGGTTCAATTATTTGCTAGAATGGCTCAGGGAACTCAGGGAAACATGTTACTTACTATTTCTAATTTAACACAAAGGATATTTTAAAGAATACAGATGAACAGTCAGATCAAGAGCTACATAGGGTAAGGTTCCGAAAAGTCTTCTGTCCATGAAGGAGCTACTATCTCCGTGGAATTGCGGTACACCACCCTCCTGGCACATACATGTATTCAGCAACCCAGAAACTCTCTCAGTGATTTTGGGCTGTTATGGAGGCTTTATTACATAGGTATGATTGATTAAATCATTCATTGGCCACGAGTGATCAATTTAACCTTCAGTCCCTTCCCCCACTCCCAGGTTAGGGGGGTGGGACTGAAAGTTCTAATCCTCTAATCATGTAGATGGTTCCCCTAGCAAGTAGCCCCATCTCTGAGCCTATCCCAGATCCCCCAGCCACTAGCCATCTCATTAGAATACAAGAAGATACTCATCCTTTCAGAGATTCCAGGGGTTTTAGGAATTGTGTGCCAGAAAATGGGGCAGAGACCAATAGATATTTTTTATTATATCACAATATCACATAACCCCTATTCTTCCATCATTATTAAGGATGGTCTTTCTAATTAACCATTTTCATCATCATATGAAAATGTTCTATACCTATCTTCATAAGAAGAAAACCCTCTGATCCTCATCTCTCTACACTTACCATGTAATTTTCCTGCTCACCAGAATAGTGAAATTTCTTGACTTGTATTTATGCTCACTGCAGGGACTTTTCAACTCTTTCCAATTTGGCATAAGTCCTAGTTACTATTGCTGTTTAATGAATTACCCCCAAATTTAGCAGCTTATAGCAACAAACATGTATCATCTCACAGTTTCTGTGGGTAGGAAATCTTGGCTTGGCTTAGGTGGATGCCTCTGGCTACAATCAAGGTGTAGGATGGGGCTGCAGACATCTTAAGATTTCACTGAGGATTTATTCCAAGCCTCAGGTTCTGGCTGGCTGTTGCAGGGAGAAATCATTTTCTTGCCACATGGGCTTCTGTGTAGAGCAGCTCATATCATGGCAGCTGGCTTCCCCTAGCAAAGGAGCAAGCCTGCAGATAAAAACCAGACAGAAGTCATAGTCTTTTTGTAGCCTAATGAAAGTGACAGCTGATCACTTCTGTCATATTCATTATCATAAGCAAGTCAGTAAGTTCATCTACACTCAAGTGAAGGGAATTACACAAGGGTGTGGAGGTAGAAATCCCTTAGAAGCTGCCAACCACAACCTCTATGCCCACCTTTCAAAGCAAAGCAAAGTGACTTGCTGATGTCACTTACAACCTGGATGTAATCAAATCCTCTCAGCAGCATTCAGCCCAGATGGTTGCTCCTTCCTTCATCAAACTCTCTCCCACTTCTCTTCTGTGATTCCACTCTCCTTTTTTTCTTCGAACTTTCTGTTTCTTTTTCATCTTCTTAACAGCATCTTGATCCTCTATCCAATTTCTTTCCTTTTTCATCAACATTCACTGCTTAGGTCATTCAATCCCATGGCTTTAAGTACTATCTATATGCTGATGGCTACTAATGTATGCCTCTAGCCTAAACTCCTTGTCTGATCTCTACATTCACACATTAGCTGCCTTCTTGACATTACCATGTAGATGTAGAATAGGTATCTCAAATTATACAAGTCCAAGACAGAGCTAGTTGTTTTCCTTGAAACCTGGTGTTCTGATTTTAAAAAATTCCAGTTTGGTAATGTTAAGACAATAAAACAACACAAGCCCCCAAATCTGAAACCAAAACAAGCAGCCAACCAAACAAACAAAAATCCCAAGAAATCAAGAGTTTAAACATATTTTTTAAAACACAGTATATAAATGTGAAAAGATTTATTCAGTGGTATCATAACTTATATAATAAGGATTTTTTTACATCAGAATCATGAGGCATATTGAAAATTTTGCATACATGAGACCTATGCTTAAACCAAAGCTAAGCCATATTATACATTCAAGTAGTTTTGTTGGTGTTTGTGTCTGCGTGTTTTGCTGTGGCTATATGCAGTATCAAGGTGGGATCAAAAGATGAATCAGATGTAGAGCTCCCTTTAATAAGTTTATACTGTCTAGAAGGGATAGAGATAAAATGCTAGGGAGTTAGAGAACATAATGATTCTTTCATAACTGGGAATGATCAGAAAAAGCTTCATGGTGAAGAAGATGCTTGTGCAGGGACTTAAAGGCTTGGTGTGATTAGATTTGGACTTATAGAAATAGGATGAACATTCCTGGGGAATCAAACATCACTTAGAAAAATTACAAAAGCAGGAAATCTCACTTTAGATTGCAAGAAGTGGGTAACCGAAGATCAAATTGGATATATAGATCAGGGAATGTTATAATACAGTAAATACCTATGGTTTTCATAATCTGTTGTTGAAGAATCCCAGAGCTACAGCTTGAGTTAACTCCATTCTCATGAGATCAAACCCCTATTTTACCTGCATTCTGAACAGCTCCATTTACATGTTCCAGTGGCCCCTGAACTCAACATGTATAAAACTGAATTTAAGATCTCCTCCCCAAATCTTCTCTGTAAAGATTCGCTGGCGGAGGGAATGGCACCAGCATCTGTCAAACAAATTCTTGGGAGTTATTTTCCACTTTCTCTTTGCTCCCCTGCAGATAATTGATATTTTACTTTTGATTCTTTCTGTTAACAGTTCTTATACTAATTGCCTTTTCCATCTCCATAGGCTTACTCACTTCTTCCTGAACTATTTTTTCCAGAAACTGCTTCTAAAATAATCCCTTCAGCAAAACTGAAGGTGCCATGTGCTAGCTTAAAATCCTTCAGTGGCTTTTTTACAGTATTTAATAAAATCTAAATCCTTTACCACAACATGAGTGGTCTCATGTGATCTGAATCTTCCCCAGCTCTCCACTGTTCTAACATCGCTGTGCCCTCAATGACTAGTCTCCTCACACTCTTCTTTCAATTCTATGCGGTGTCAAGTTCTTCCTTGCCTAAGCAATAGTTTCTCCCACATGTCTGTTCATCCTTCAGATCTCAGAGATGCCTGTCTTCCCCAATCTAGATTATTCTCAACATCCTGTTTTTTCCTTCCACAAATCCCAAGTTGTATTTGTTTTCTCCACTGGATTATAAGCTATTTATTTTCTATGTTTAGATAGACAAATACCATTGTGTTACAACTGCCTACAGTATTCAGTACAGTAACATGCTGTACAGGTTTGTAGCCTAGGAGCAATAGTCTATGCCAAAGAGCCAAGGTGTGTAGCAGGCCATCCCATTTAGGTTTGTGTAAGCACACTCTATGATGTTTGCACAATGACAAAATTGCCTAACAAAGCATTTCTCAGAACATATCTCCATCATTAAGTGACACCTGACTGTATTTGTTGTTAATCTCTTACTATGCCTAATATATAAATTAAAATTTATCATAGGTAGGTATGTAAAGGAAAAACCACAGTGTATATAGGGTTCTGTACAATTGGCAGTTTCAGGCATTCACTTAGAAGGTGACCCCTGAGGATAAGGGGAACTAGTGGAATTAAGTTAAGGATCTTGAGAGACCATTTGGGATTATCGGGTTGGGCCCCAAATCCAAAGACAAGTGTCTTTATAAAAGACACAGAAGAAGATGGATGCAGAGACTGGAGTGATGTGGCTACTAGAAAGACACAGAGAAGAGAATGTGACATGAAGACAGAGGCAGAGATTGGAGCATTGTAGCCACAAGCCAAGGAATGTACCACTGGAAACTGTCAGAGGTAAGGAAAGGTCTCCCCTAGAGCCTCCAGGGGGAGTATGGCCTTGCCAACATCTTGATTTTGGACTCCTGTCCTCCAGAACTGTGAAAGAATAAATTTCTGTTGTTTGAAGGAATCCAGTTTTGGGTTGTTACAGCAGCCACAGTATTAATAAACTAATATAGGCCTTAACAGAATAGAATTCAGAGTGCCCTATATTCTTTTTCTTTAAGCACCATTAAAAACAAAACAAAAAATCTTTCTATGAGTTGGATTCTGCTCTAACCATATCAGAAGAGTTCTTAGTAAATAAGAATTTTTGAACAGTTATAAAGTGAAACCAACTCAATTTAGGTAAATATATTTAACAATCTTTTAATACAGAAGTATTCCTTCAGTGACTAAAATGTATGATTCTTTAACCAACTAAGAAACTACCAAAAGAAAATAATTATGTTGTAAACTATCTTTCATGTTTCTCCACTTATCCTGTGACTGCCTGATAATTAACATCAAATTTTATCACACCTCATTTGCTTCTCTCTTTTCAGGGTAAATTGTTTAATGTCATCTGTGTCTCCCTATCAAGTTCTTTTTATCTTGGGATTAACTTTTCTTTAAGGTGCTGGATGAATAATTAGATGACACTTGGTACTGTATAACTTAAAACTGGTAGCACAACTGCTTTAAAGTGCCTTGGTTTTTGGATAGCAAGTCACATCATCACGATAAAGCTAAATTAAATAGAGGAAATTACATGACAAGTCTCTTTCAAGCTTTGAATAAATTCAGAATTAAAGTCTGGCATCGCTAAACAATCCCTTCCAAACCTTCAGTTCCATTTTTAACCATTTAAATGGCAGATGCCAGGCTACTTCAAAAGGTCACATAGTATTTTCTTTCTTTCCTTATTTCGGTGCATCATAGGGAGAAAGTGACGCTCCTGCAGGGTCTACCGGTAGGAAGTCCGTTTATGAAACTATCAATGTCACCGGTCGCCACAAAACACTTCACGGAAGAAGCTGGAGGACGGATAGAGTTTAGCATGTGGGGCAAGGACAGGCAGGGCTCCCCTACACCTCAGCACTTTTGCTTTGGAACCCCTGACCCCCTTCGCAGAGGTTTCCTGTCGCATCGGGCGGGCCAAGCGAGACTGGGCTCCCGCGCGCCCTCGGGACTCGCCAGCACAGACCTCACTCCGCCCACGGTAGCTTCGTCGGTGGGAAGGGGACTTGGGCACTCCCTGCCCCCACCCTCGCTGTTCCCCCAACTCCCGGGGGCAGGTGTTGACCCGGGAGCGGAGGGGATCCGGGCAGAGCGCCCACCGCAGGCCACCGACCTGGCGAGGTCCGGCCCGGCCTCCTAGGGGCCAGAGGATGCTGGAAAGCGGCGGTCCCGCGAACTTGGGGCCGATTTTGCAACCCATCCCCGGGCTAAAGCTACCCCGGAGAGGCAGCGGCTTTCCCGCGCCGACTGCCTAGCGCGTCTAACTCCGGCCGCTTGGGCTGGGAACCCGGAGACAGAGGCGGCCTCCCCTTCCCCCCGCGCACACGTCAACGGCGTCGTCGGGGAAACGCCGTAATGGCCCGAAGAGGCGCGCCTAAATAAAAACCTGCACCGCGCCGCCGCAGCCCCAGCAGAGAAATCCCTGCCCCAGGCGTACGCCAGCCCTTCCCGCGGGCTCATGGAGGAGCAAAAGAGAGGCTCTCCTTGGGGATATACTCTAGAGGCGCGGGCGGGTGCGCTATAAAGGTTTGATGGGGCAGGAGCCTCAATGAAGCCGAGTGGCTGGGTCGTCTTACGGCTCTTTCCTGCCCCTGTCATTCAGAAGCTTCTGCAAGTCTCGGCGATGGTGGGTCTACCAGCCCCAGCCAGCGGCTTCCCTTCCCCGACCCCCTGCGTTTGCCAGCCTGGCCTAAGTCTCTGTTTCAGAATATCTGCTCTTGCGAGCCCGCGGCCAGAGGTGCTGGGGGCGTTCGTGCGCGTCTATTAGGAGGCGCGTGGTAGTGATGGCGGCGCTCAGTGAGACTTTCCTGTCACTGGATACTACTACTCCCAGCCCTTCTCAAAGCCGCCGGAGCAACCCCCTGGTCTTTAGTTTACTAGTGGCAATTTGACTTGCTCCGCTGCATGTCTGGAGGGACTGAGGAAAGTGTGGAGACGCCCCGGGGACTGCGCGATCGCAGTTTGGAAAGAAAAAAAGCCAAACAAATAAACAAAACCCACCCACCCTAACAAACATGAGGCTGCTGGAGAGAATGAGGAAGGAATGGTTCATGGTCGGAATAGTGCTGGCGATCGCCGGAGCTAAGCTGGAGCCGTCCATAGGGGTGAACGGGGGTAAGTGTTGCACCTCTCCGGCTCCCCCGCGGTTCCCACTTCAGAACTAGTGCGTGAATCTCGGAAAGGAGGGACAGCCCTAACTGGCAAGTGCTTGCCGATCCCAGGGGCACTGACCAGCCTTTGGCCCTTTTGCTGATTTTCCAATTTGCCGACCCCAGAGGGAACTTGTGATTAGGAATGGGGCACAGGAATTTAAGCGCAGGTAGCCTTTTCCGCGAACAATGACTCTCATCAGTGTCAAGGAGTGAGGTTACAGAGAATGAAACTTACTCCTCTTGCCTTCGAAGTAGCATCCTATCCCAAGGGACTCTAGCTTGCCAGGAGTTCCTTATCTATCTTGGAGTGCACTTCATTATCTAGTCTACTTCCGACTCATCCTCATCCCCCACATTAAAACAAAGTGGAGGTGACAAAAAAAAAGAAAGAAAGAAAAAAGAAGAAGAGGAGGAGGAAGTAAGGAAGAAGAAGAAAGAGGAAAGAGAAGGAAAAGAAGAAGGAAGAAGAAGAAGGAAGAAGAAGGAAGAAAGAAAGAAAGAAAGAAAGAAAGAAAGAAAGAAAGAAAAGAAAGAAAGGAAAGAAAGAAAGAAACAAACAGCGGCACCCTCGCCCCCAACTCAGATTTTGTGGCCCACATGTTGGAGAGTGATGATTTGCTGCAGTTGCTGGCACTCCAGAAACTCCCAAGCCGACTGACACGTTGCACTCTTTCATTACAGGACACGACTTCCGTGTGCTGCCGGGATTCAGTTGCTACACTAGCAGTCTAACAGATACAGCCTGTGTTAGACTGCTTGGTGTGTATTTGGGCAAGGAAACGTAGATGGGCTGAAAACATACTTAAATCTCGGAATAGCAGGAGCTTTGTATTGGGGTGGTGGGCACTGCTAGGAACACTAAGAAATAGTAGCTTTTTATGCTCCCCTGAAACCCTTGAACAATCTTGTCCTACTTTTCAAAAACATTAATTGAATTTCTTCAATGCATTCGTCTTTTGACCTTGTTTGTCAGTTTCCAAGCTTATTGACAGGTTTAATACATGTCATACAACCGGGCAAATAAGGACAGAAGTGAACACAGTCTTTTTATGGTAGGAAGTGCTCATGAGGATACCAGAAGTTATTTGTACCATTTTGTTAAACATGATGAAAGTGAATGATCTCTTAGGACGATAGTAGCGGTTCCTTCTCCCTTCAACTGCCACCCAATTTCTCTATTTAGAAGGAACTTCTGGAAACATTTTAAAAGGAATTATTTAAACAAAGATTGTGGAGATTAAAGCTTTTTTGTTTTAAAATTTTGTTCTTCTATATTCAACTTAGTACACAATATGTTGAGTATATGCTGTGTGGGAAGAAAGATTGTTGAATGTTGAATCATTTCCCTAGGGCTTTCCTGCTGAGGCACGGATGAGATAGATTCTGCAATCTTACTTGTTCCCTTGGACTCTACGTATTGAAGTTTGGGTACATTATTGTATCTTAGAAATATTGTTTCCTATTTCACTAGTCCTTATGTTATTAAGATAGGATAATTCATTCTTTAATTATAAAAGAGTAGAATGTTATGAGCTGGAAGGGACTTTGAAATTATTTGAAGCTAACATGCATCTTTTACAGTTGATAATACTGAGCGAAGCCTGAGGCCAGGTGAGTTAGGTTAAGTTAGCTGGCTTACAGAAGAGGAACCACTGGAGAACAGGACTTCCCCTTATTTCGTACCAGTTGCAAAATCTAACCGTTCTGGCAAAAAAAAAATTATTATAACAAATAACCATTATAAAGAAGGGCTCTGTGGAATAAAGATATTCCCCACACCCTGACTTTTTAGCTCAAAGTAGCAGAGCAGAATCAGCTAGTATTAGACACAATGTACTCATACAATTTCTTTGATAGTTGTCTATGTGTAAAAGTTACTTTTCCTGAAACCAAAAGTTCAACGAGCAATTGTTTGAGATTTCCTTTATAGGCTATAAGCCTAAGTTACTGATACTTCTGTTGAACTTTGAATTGACCTTCTCACACCTGTAAAACCTCTTAGTAAAAACGAACCTCGAAATAGTACCAAATCACACTTTCACTTGCGAACAAGAGTTCTCTGACAAGGAATTTGGAGAAAAGAGACTTTATTCCAGTGAACAATTTACAAATCAGGGAGACACATCCTTTGGTATCAAAGAAGAGGCTCTATGAAACAAAAGCAAGGCCCAGGTTTTATAGCAAACGTTCCCACCCAAAGTACCCAATCAGATCTGTTTATGCAAATACAGGATTGAAACTTGCTTAGTTCTGATTGGTCAATATAGCTAAACTCTGATTGGTTGAGATGGGTGAATAGCTCTGAAGTCCCAAACATAAAAAGGTGTGAGTTTTTAGGGAACTCATGGTGTATGTGTGACCCTTAGTCAGCAAATGGCCACTTGGCTCTGTTTTAAATTTAGGCCCAGTTAGCCACTTAGGATCCATCTTGAAGGACTGGCTCTTTGACGTTCACATTTGTCCACATTCCACCTTAAAACAACAAAAATCTAGCAACACGAAGAGGCTGCTGAAAATGTTACTGTCACATGCTGTTCTCTAGAGTGGTCTAAAGCACCTCTTTGGCTTGTAACTTTTAGTCAAAAGGTTCCATTTATGGGCCTTGTACACTGGCAATGCGATTTGTAATGCATTCACATTGACTGGACAATTTTCAATTGAACAAGTTTTTAAACATTCTTTTAAATAGGGTAAGTTTTGGTAATTTTCAATTTGTTAAGATACTCACTTCACCTTTCCCTGGATTAATACCTTAATGACTACACTATTTTTAAGTATAAGACTTCTACATTTAAAGTATCACACATACATGTGGTCTGACCTCCCTTTTAAAAAAATCTTAACAACCAATTGGTGACTTAATATGGCTGGAAATGTATAGATATGGGAACCCTAAATTAGAGATGTTGAATGACTATCCAAATGGGCAGAAGTATAATAGCTTAGATAATTTAATTCTTAGTTCACTGTTCTTTTTAATAAATTAAATTTCATTGTTAAATATATAAAAGAAGATTGAAATTAAAAAGCTATAGTAGATGTAAATATGATAATCTGTTCCAATGTGACCTATGGAAGCCCTGAGCTATTGTATACTTTAGAGTTTATGAGAGTTGAATACTGTGCTAGTCTTTCTTGGGAAGAGAAAGGTTTACTTCTTTGGAAGTAGAGAGTAAGTTTTTCATTTCTACCTATATCTTAACTTAAGTTATTGTTGTTAATAAGACATTAATCCTAAAAAGGAAACTGTTTTGTTTTTCCATTAAAAAAACATAACCAGAAACATGCTATAACCTTAAGTATATTAGCATGAATATCTTAGAATACCTTAGATTAGGTTTGGAAGTGAAATTTACTTTGGTGATGAGTGGCTTTTGTGAAATGGTAATAGTCTTTGCATTCTTAAGTATTCCAAAAACATTTTCTTTTTTCCCTCCCATTAAAAAGCATGGGTTTTAGAGCCCAAAAATTGTTTCATTTTTTATGGCCAATTTTTCTTTTGATTGTGCTAGCCCATTCCATTTTGTTGATAAACCTTTTTTTCTTTTGTTTAATGGAAAAGTAAAAACATATTTCCAGTTTGAGTTTTATAGCCACCTTAAAATCTGAATCTGGTTATTTTAGTGACTTGGTGGATATAGTTATTAGCTTGGGGAGGGGACACATCATTTTTATATCATATAATGGTTTCAGTGCTCACTTCTGTGCAAATATTTACCAAGTTTTTATTTTAGCCATAGGTGACTTCTTATTCTTCATTCCCAACTTGGGTGATCTGTTAGCCTCTCAGTTGATTATGTCTTAGAGAGGACTTGGGACTAAATCAGAATTAATCACTCTTTCCCCCTAAAAGGTGCATTGTAGGTAGCCCTGGAATATCCTTACCCACCTCCTTTCATGGATTAGAGTTATTTCAATGTGCATCTGGTATAGAAGATTGTATACTCTCTCTCTCTCAAGAATTTAAAACATTAAAAGTCAGAAATTCTTCCATTGAATTAATGTCAATTAGTTAAGAGTTATGTATATTTATGTATGTGTGTGTGGAGTGTGGGTGGAGTTAGCTTCTTAAAAAGGAAAGTTGGCCAATTAAGGTAGATGCATTAGCTACCCCAGAGAAACATGCAATACAAGTAAGTGCCATGTGTTTGCTGTGGAGATGCATCTTTGTACATGTACCCGAACTCTCATTTGCTACCATATTGCTAACTCTAACCCCTCATTTTGCACCCCTGTGGGTGGAACTACAATGAATAAGAATAAGGTCTCATGAAAAGCAACGATTGGAGGAATATAAAAAATGATATGAGTTTTAAAAAACAAGTTTTTTAAAATTCCTGGGAAATATCTTCTTCCCAAAGAAGCTAGATGCCTTGACTTTAAAATCTGCTCCTGAATCACTCTCATCAGCTGTTGAAGAAATACTTCTAAGTGTGAGCTGCTGAGACAGATTCACTCATGAGTATAATGTATCTCTTTTTAACAGCTTTTAAATTCCTTTACTGCTCCCAAATGTAATGCCTTTTGCACTTGCCTTCTCCCTTTTGCTTCCCTTTTCTCAGATGTCAGCAAAATGATTTGTGTAAATGCCAAGCATATTAAAGAATTTATTACAGTGTTTGAGGACATCTTTGTTTCTTTTAATCATTGTTGTACCTCGCATGCCTAAGACATAGTAGATCCTCAATAAATATTTGTTGAATGAATAAATGGCGATTTTTCCTGAGCTTGGTCTTCTGTCCATTTACTGAGCAAGTGGAGGATTTTGGTGTATGGAAGAACTGTGATTGTGGTCCTGTTGTTTTGCTTAGGGGATGTATTAGTTTCTTAGGGCTGCCACATTAAATTACCACAAACCAAGTGGCTTAATGCTACAGAAATTTATTCTCTCACAGTTCTGGAAGAAGTCTGAAGTCAAGATGTCTTCCAAAGGCTGTGGGGAAGAATTCTTCCTTGCCTCTTCTAGCTTGTGGTTGCCAGCTACCCTTGGCATTCCTTGGCTTGTGGCTGTATAACTCCAGTCTCTGCCTGTCTTCACATGGGCATCTTTGTATCTGTGTATCTGTGTCCAAATTTCCTTCTTCTTGTAAGAGTACCATTCATTGAATTAGTGACTACTCTAATTCTAGTTGACCTTATGTTAACTTGATTACATCTGTAAAGACCCTATTTCCAAATAAGGTCACATTCACCGATTATGGGTGGACATTAATTTTGGAGGGGACACTACTCAATCCAGTATAAGAGGGCTGAATAGAATGTCAAGTATGAGATGATCTCAGATTTTAAAATGTTGGTATAGTCCAGGATTTCTCAGCCTTGGCACTATTGACATTTCGAACATGGTAATTTGTTGTTGGAGGGGCTGTTGTGTGTCTTCTAGGAGGTTTAGCAAAATTCCTGATCTTTCCCCACTAAATACCAGTAGCACACTCTACCCTCCAAGTTATGACAACCAAAAAGTTTCCAAACATCACCAAATGTCTGGGGGTGGGGGACAAAATTGCCACTGCTGGAGAACCACTGGTATACAAGTATAAATGTCATTTTCTCAGAACAGAATCTTTTAAAAGAATATCCTTCTTTGGTTAATACATTAGGTCATGAAGCCAATTGTGTACAAGTCACAAATGATCCTTTAAATATCAGGATTGCCCCTCTTGTTCTCACAGTATTAACACATTTGCAGTTCAGCCAACCTAATTCTAGAGAGGAATTCCTGGAGGGCTAGGATCAGGTCTGTCTGGTTCATCATAGTATCTCCAGGGCTTAGAACAATTTAATAATAATTATAATTATAACAATATATTATTAAGTACTCTATATGCATTATCTCATTCATATAGTAAGTGCTCAAAAAGTATTTGTAGAATGAATACTGAATGCATATATGATTACGAGCTTTTATTTCTGGCATCCTAGAAGGAATAAAGTAATATTTGCTCAAGAGAAGGGAACTTCTTCCATTGAGTCTCTTCTTTGAGTTCAGGGGCATTTTGATTGTTATATAAGCGCTGATACCATGATAGTTACAATTAGGACCTGTGTTCTCCTGTGTGCTGCTTCTTCTGGTCTGAGGATACTGTGCTAAACCAGACAGCTATGATCCTTTCCCTCTGGAAAATCCTCTCTCGAGTTGGGCTACATCACACAAAAGCTTACCTGTGTCAGGACAATAGTACACTAGGGGCAACACTAAAATGTAAAGGACCATTTGTTGTCCTGCAATAGATTCTTCTTTTATAGCAAGGTATCTACTGGAGTTTTTTTTCTAACAGTAACTCATTTTTCTCTTTTTAGGACCACTGAAGCCAGAAATAACAGTATCCTACATTGCTGTTGCAACAATATTCTTTAACAGTGGACTATCATTAAAAACGGAGGTACTATCACCTATGGGGCACATGAAAAAGCAGGGAGAAAATTTTAATTTGTACTTGAAATTTCAGAGTCCTCTTGTAAAGCCATTTCCAGTTATAATCTGAAGGCTTCACTATTACAGAAGATAACTTGGACTTCAAGTTATCTTGAAAGACTTGTGTTGCAAAGGACTTGTGTTTTGGTCCTATGTATGCATATTATAAAAACTTTATAGTTGAGCAGTATGGGCCCTAAGGATGTGGTTATAATGAGTATGTGGTTATAATGAGTATGTTTTTAATACAGCAATCTTTATGTCTTCTTCAGCTTACGGTGGTAACTACTGTGGTGCCTGCTGTGCTTGGGCACAGTTGAGCTGTTGATGTTTAGTTTTGGTTTCTGTACCTTCTGTGGGTTGTCCTTTTCCCTCAGGACTCATGCTGTTCGGTATTGCTTATTTTGTTATAACTTTTAACTAATTGTTATTTTTAAAAAACATATTCTTCCTTAGCATATCTATTAAATTAATAATTTAATAATCTATTAATAATTAATAATATTAATGAATTAATTAATAGAATATTGCATTTGTCATGCAAATAACAATTTCATACAGACAATATGGGTAATGCTATTTACTGATCCAGGCTTCACTGAACATGGGCTTCTTTTGGAAGTAAAGAAATCCAGACGTTTTTACATGGGAGGGGGGAATAAGTAGAACTTATGATTATCTTTTGACTTACAATGGAAGAAAAAGAAAGAGGAAAAATACCCATTTAATTTTGAAGAAATTACATAAAGTTATTCTAACATGCTCATTCTTATGTAAATAGGAAAATCTTACTATAAGGATTTTTTTTTTGGAAGTGGCTTTAAAAGTTAAAATTCTGGTTCAGTGTTATTTCTTGCCTTTATTTATTTTACCTTCATTTTATTTTAAGTGTGATTTGAATGAAGATCAAATTTAGTTAACTCTTTCTTAGATCATCCTAGGAGCAACATGGAAAAATATTAGTTTACTAAATTTGTGTCTTCTGTAGCTATCAGGTTGGTATAAATGTTTTTGGGGGATATTTTTTGATACATGTAGGAGTAGTCTGTAGTGTCTATAACTGATAAACTGTGTCTCAAGAATTCCAAATATTCTTGCTAATTACCTGTTCTTCTGGAAAAAACTGGCATAGGATGGGATTTCCTAAATATGTCAAATTCCAGTTTTTGTAAACAATATTGATATGAAAGGACCATGATTAGTGCTTAGAGGGCGCATGCTTTTTCTGTCAACACCAGAGTTCTAACATTGGTTCTCAAATGCGGGGCAGAGTAATACAGAAAGATAGTTACCTGGAGGTCTTCCTGCTGGCCTTGGCTAATGCTCTTTGTGGAGCAGCTGCCTTACCCAAGTCCTCTACTTGGGACGTTGCTCTAACTACGTCCCCTGGTGGCTGCTTAATGGCTACAGCTGTTACTTATGACATGGGAAATCTGGCAAGAGACTTGATTTCTCTCACTCCTTAGCTTCTTACTTAATGCTATTCTGTAAAGCAGCCAACTTTGTGGGGTGCAGGAATTAAAGAAGGAAGAATGTCACAGTTATCAGCATTTCTCTAAGGACCAACTTCTTTTGTAAGTACCTAAGAAACCTTCAGAGTCATTCAGCTAATTTGGATGTAATGATGAAGTGCCTTGATCTCATGGTTTATCATGGTATCTGAGTAACCATCAAAGCCATTTCCTCCATCAAAGGCCCTTTTCAAAGTAATACATTAAGTCATTTTCAAAAGCCATTTAACTTAAGATGTCCTCGATTGCATCATGTGTACTATTAAATCATCTCTAAGCCCTGCTAATTTCCTGGGTAACCTAACTTATTCATTAGGAAGTAGCAGTCTTGTTATTTTTTTCCTAGTTAATAATCCTACATTAATTTTAGCAGGGATGACGAGTTATATAACTTATGAGGTCCTAGGATGTGCATTTTGCACGCAGAAGACAGTAAGTTATTATTGAATTGAGTTTATTTGGAAGCATTTGTGTTGATCCCATTCCAGTTTGATTTATATTGAACATTTCTTATGGTATTACTCATGATTAATGGTGTGTATGCTAAAATTTGTTTTACTAACTTATAGAAATTATAAAGGACACTGTGCTAATGCAATGCCACGTCTTCAGTTTTATGATATTTGATAACTCATTTTTGAAATACCTGTTGAAATGGTTTCTGAAATTATGTTATATTGAAGTGAAATAAGGTCACATTTAGAATTTATTTTATATTTAGCTAACTTTAGACCTACAGTTTCAGAGTATCTGTCATTTAACAGACTGTGGCAGGGTCAATTCACTTAAACAAATACCAATTAAGTGCCATGGCTACAAGGCACTGTGCTTGGGCTGGGGTGAAGCAAAGACGAGCAGGAGACTCAAGGCCTGAAAAAGGGTCCTGAATAGGGCAGAATATACAGATTTTTCTTTATTTTTCTAAACAGATTATTGTTTTTTAATCTCATTAGCTGAAAAGTAAATATAGTGAATTCTTAACTTTAGGCATATGCTGCTTGTTTCAAGCCCAGAGCTACGAGACTGACTCTCAGAAAGTGAATCAGATAAAGGTCAAATAAGGGTTAGAAGGGAAATTGGTATGTAATGAAAATATTTCTACGTCCCAGTCAGAGCCCTGGCTTTAAGCAATTCTTGATGCTGTCAGTGAGACTCTGGTATAATCAGTACATTATGTGGAGTGTCTCCTTAAGTTTATTTTAATGGAATTTGACCTGTATTACATGTGAATAAACAAAATGTTATGCAGAGGCAACTTTTCAATTATTCATGATGGCATTTATTTGAATATGTGGCCCTAAATTCTACACGGGTAAATATAGAATAATACTATTATGGATTTTATAGGGTTTACTTGCTTCTTTTCTATTGTTAATTTATTTCATCTTTATGGTTGTATGAAGAAGATATAGAAAATAGATGACCCTGGTTTTTTTGTGACAATCTTGAAAATCTTTATTAGAAACACTTTCTCTTTGTTAAGAAGCCCCTCATGGCCCAACATGGTAGGGTGTTATGACTCATTTTGCTGGATTCTTTACTGTACCACATTCTGATGCAATGTCAATTTCTAATTATCATTTATTAGGTCAGCTAGCATTTTCCATCTATAATTTAGTTTTTATAACTTTTTTCTGATTATAAAAGTGGTATTTATTCATAGATTAGAAAGAGTAAAAATAACTTATTAACATTCATGTGTTTTTTAGTCTTTTTTAAAACATATTTTATGTAAGTATTTTTTTTTTTTTTTTTTTTGAGACAGAGTCTCGCTTTGTTGCCCAGGCTAGAGTGAGTGCCGTGGCGTCAGCCTAGCTCACAGCAACCTCAAACTCCTGGGCTCGAGTGATCCTTCTGCCTCAGCCTCCCGAGTAGCTGGGACTACAGGCATGCGCCACCATGCCCGGCTAATTTTTTATATATATATCAGTTGGCCAATTAATTTCTTTCTATTTATAGTAGAGACGGGGTCTCGCTCTTGCTCAGGCTGGTTTTGAACTCCTGACCTTGAGCAATCCGCCCGCCTCGGCCTCCCAAGAGCTAGGATTACAGGCGTGAGCCACAGCGCCCGGCCCTATGTAAGTATTTTTTAAAACAATATTTATTTTTAAAAGTAAAATTGTATATGTATGTGTATATATACAAAATTGTATGTATGTGTATACACATTCTTGCAGACATACACACATACACATAAAATCTTATTCTATTTTTTTCATGTAACATTATATAACAATTTTCATGTAATTTAATATTATTCAATTCTTCCTTTATATTTTATAATAAAAATAAATTGTTTACTTTTATGAACATATGATTTATTCACATAGTTCAGAATCAAAAGGTACAAAAGTATATGTGTGATAAATCTTCCTTTCACTCCTCCACCACATATCTAGTTCTCTTCTCTGGAGACAACCAATGTCAGCAGTTTCTGTGTACTGCTAACATTTCCAGAGATATTCTATGCAAATATACAGATGTGTATCCCATTCTACTACAAAGTGTAGTATTTTATAATGTTTGGCACCTTACCTTATTTTACTTAAATAACATCTTGTAGATTGTTTTATATCAACACATAAAGAACCCTGTTTCTTTTTGTACCCCAAATCATATTATATTGTATGGATGTGTTGTGGTATGTTTTACTTGTCCTTTATTTGATGGACATTTCGGTAATTTATAAGGTTTTGCCATTACAAACATGTTGTAAGAGATAACCTAAAAATATGTCATTTTCCACATTTGGGAACATATGTCAGGGTTAAATTCCTGGAAGTGGAATTGCTAGGTCAAATGATATATGTAGTTTAAGTTGTGATAGATATTCCAAGTACCTAGTATGGTGCTAGGTGCTCAGTAAGTATTTTTTGAACGAAGGCATGAGTTTCCAGATTGCTCTCCATAGGTTATGCCAATTTACGCTCCTATTGATAAAGTAGGGCAGAGATCCTGTACTCCCACAGCCTCATCAACACAGTTTTTCAGAATGCATAACACTCTTGTTATTCTTATCTAATTCTCCCATATTTGGACATTTAGGTTGTTTCCAGATTTTGCTTTAATAGATAATGCTGTGACTGTGATCATCAATTCTGTGTATAAATGTTTATAACAGTCTTTTATATCCTTGGGATAAATGCCTAGACATAAAGTTTTTGAGTCTAAGAATGTGACCTATATTATAGTCCTTGTTGTATATTCCCAAATTGCTTTTTGGAAAAGTTATGCTGTTTTCTATTCCTATCAGAATTACATGCAAATGGCTTAGTTACTGTTATTCTGGCTAATCATTTTATTATGATTTTTAAAAAAATAAAAATACTAATATTTGTTTGGCATTTATGAAATGCCTCTGAGTAGATATAAATGAGATTTGGTTTCAAGACCATTGAAAATGCTCTGAACTGCTATTGCTCAAGTTTTATCTGGGGTGGAACTTTAAGAATTCTAATTCATTGTAAGGATGGCTTGTATTTTTCTTAGGTCTAATCCAAGGGCCTAACGTGGCTTCTGGTAGGCCCAGATTGCCAGAAATTCTTTAGATTTCGTTAGGGATATCTTGTGACCAAAACAAAAGTAACTGCTCTATGTCTCTATACTAGGAGATAGTGGGACCCAGTGAGATAGATCTCAGAACGTCGCCATAGCGAATGAACCTGGGTTAACCTGCTGTCTGTTAAACTGATAAACTTTGGCTAATATCTTTGAAGCTGAGGATCCCTTGAACGTCTTACTTGAACTAGGGGGCCTGTTACAGTCCAATGTTTACAAACAGTGAATCTCTGGCATCTTTGAGTATGTTTTAATGATTACTTGCTTTTTTTTAAAGAACTATACTTTTTCTGCTCCTCTCTGAATTTGTTTTATTTCAACTGAATAACTACATAACACAGACTCAAATGCAAATGTTTTAAAATTTATATATCATTGAACCCCAGAGGTTAACTAATTATCCTTTTTTAGCTGTAAGATTCATAACATGTGCCTGGTTTGTCATGTTTAATGAACAATTTTTCCCCTCTTGGGGGAGCAGTGTCATACAGTGGAAGAAGCAGGCATGGGTTTGATAGCATGCTGGAAATGAGTTTAATTCTGATGTGCACTGTATAGCAGCTCTTAACTCCAATTTCCTCATCAGTAAAATGGGGACAATATTATCTACCTAATGGGTTTATTACGAGAATTAGATGAGATAACAAATTTCCTCATCAGTAAAATGGGGACAATATTATCTACTTAATGGGGTCATTATGGGGACTAGATGAGATAACATATGTAAAATGACAAGCTCAGATCATGGCATATAGCTGATATTCAGCTAATGTTAACAAAGAATCTAGTGAGTAGATTGTAGGGGAAGAAGCCATTTTGAATTAGAGACTATCATTGAAGAAAACATTTTAAAAATTATTTGTAGATTCAGTAATATCTTGCAACACTGAGGCCTTACAGGTTTGATGTAATGGATAGTGATTATTTAATTAAAATGTGATAGGTCCCATTAAAATTTTTTTTAAAGATTTTTTTTTATGTAGGTAAATATACATGTGTGCTTATATTGTCAACAATCCTCAAATCTATACCATTGTAAAGGTTGTTAGCTTAGTCCTGGTCCAGAATCTTTTAAATCTGAGTTGTTAGGGCATATTATGTATTTGAAAGAAATTAGAATATTTCAAAAATTTTATATAAAAATATAATCATCATGACATTCTATCTCATATGCATATACTTATAGATAAAAAGTTTAGCTATGAAAAAAACCTCAAAATTAAAAGCTAACTCATGTGTTGTTATTTTAGTAGCAATCTGTTTTTTGAAACAGCTTTCTTACCTTTGTTTATTCTGTGTCCTTCATTTTTCCAGGAGCTGACCAGTGCTTTGGTACATATAAAACTGCATCTGTTTATTCAGATCTTTACACTTGCGTTCTTCCCAACAGCAATATGGCTTTTTCTTCAGCTTTTGTCAATCACACCCATCAATGAATGGCTTTTAAAAGGGTATGTTTAAATCTTTTGCAGGGCCTACTTTTAATGGGGCATGTCTAGTGATATTATTGTTTCTATGGCAACTATATACAAAAGGGATTTTTGCATACTACCTGATAAAGAAATAAAAACACTTCTAACGTTATTATTTTCCTTTAAAATAATAGTGTTTCATCAAGGAGGGTCTTCAAACAATTAACAGAATCTTAAAATACAGCTACATACTTCATCTTAAAGTTCTGGGGTGCATACTTTTCTGGAAATTTAAAAGAGTGGTTTTGGGAGGAATATAAAAAGGACTAGAGGATGTAAGATCTGTATGCATGTGTATAATGTAGGCTGTTATTAGATGCTTTGTCTTTGCATTCTAAATCTTACCAAATGTAAACATGTGATAGCTGAGTATAATATGTATTTTTAAAATGTATAAGAAAAATTATTTACTTTTTCACTTGTTCTAAGTTTGATATAATAGTTCAATTAACAGTAGATTTTTTATTAGAGTTTTTTAAATTCAAAATGTTACCATGTTTATTAAAAGGATTTAACAATTTTAAAAAAATTATTTGAAGTGGTTTAAAACTAATCATATTTTAGCAGTATAGTATAATAGCTACCACACTGAACTTAGAGCCTGAAGAGTGAGTTTTGACCCCATGCCTCACATATTGTATAACTTTGAGCAAAGTTATTTAATAGTTTTAAACCTCAGTTTTTCTCTCTATAAAATGGATAATCATATTTTTACTGCCTACTTATTAATGATGTTGGGGATATCAATTGAGATCACTTATTCATTTATTCAAGTCATTTATTTGTCTCCTACTATGTGCCAGGAATTATTATAGGAATTGGAGAAATAATAGTGAAATGCCAGTTAGTTCTGCATGTTGGGGAGACTCAGGGGGTGTGATTATCGATAAACAAGTAAATAGATGAGCAAGATAGATATAAGTGATGTGAAAAAAGAAGTACAGTGTGATATGGTTGAAAGTGGTTGGGTGGGCAGGCTGGTGATTTAGATTTCAGAGTTCTGGGGACAGAATGTGCTAGGCAAAGGAAACAGAATGTACAAAGGCTTTAAGGCAGAATCAAACCTGGTGTGTGCCCGGGTCAAGCAAAGCAACCACGATGGCCAGGCCTGGTGATATAGAGGAAGAACAATATGACTTGGAGGTGGAAAGGTAGGCAGGAGCCTGGTATGCAGAGATAGACCATTCAGATTTTATTCTCAGTGCTACAGGAAAACTGTTGGAGGAATCGAAAGGAGGGAGTGATGTGGTCTGATTTATATTTGCAGATAATTCTTCTGGCTGCTGTGTGGTCAGTAGATGGTAGAGAATAGAGAGGAAGCCAGGAAAGCAACGTGGGGACTAGCGTGGCAAGGTAGCAGTGCAATGGAGAGAAATGAACGTGTGCCGGATAGACCTCAGAGTTAGAGCTTTCAGAACCCACATGTGGAGAGGATGTAGAATGAGAGGGACAGAGAGGAACCAAGGGTGACTTTTGGGTTTTAGATATGAACCACTGGGTAATTGGTGGCATCATTTACTTAACAGGGGAGAAATAGGTTAGGAAGAGAGGGAGAAAGGGTGCTGTTTTGGCCAGATTGAGTTTGAGAGAATAAACATGAAATTTCATGAAAAAGCATAAAATGCCACATAAATATAACATCATTTTACTTCAACTATGTATTATGCATATCAGGAACCAATAGTTACTGAGTATCTGCCATGTGTGGGGCACTCAAGGAATAGGAAGATAGCTACTCATTTTTGTGTCTTCCGGGGACTTCCAACCCAGTTGGGTATGTGGGACAATTATATAAGATAGTAATCAACCAAGGTGGAGAAGCATATGATTTATCAGGTGAGTGACATAATCAGTTAACAAATAAGCAGTTCAGCAAAGGCTGGGTACTCCTAGAGAGTTAAAAAATGAGGCATTAGTGGGAGACAGAGGTAAAACATTTCCTTAGAACCTACTTGCAGAAGACCTGAACTACTGGGTTGAGGAGTTTGCATTTGAAGCTATAGATGATGGAGAGAGAGCTCCTAAAATTACTAAACAAGAGAACAGCGTGTTAAAAAATGGTCTTTAAGGAAGATTAATCTGCTAGCATTATACTGGGTTTATTATTAGAAGAGTAGTACTTAGAATCTCAGTATGCTAAATAAAACAAACATACAATTCTCACCTTCAGATGTTAAGCCTAAAGGAGTATACAGTTGCTCGAACTCACTTAGACAAAGCTCTTCCTAGCTCAGTTTTTTCTCCTTCCTCCTTCCCAATTTGAAAGTACTTAGTGTGTTAACTTGAGGGAGTTGCATACTCCTACCTCAGAATCATGTTTAAGCCATTGAAATAAGGACATTCTGAGCACATCCTCCTTCCTTGCCTTGCGATGTGCAAGGCACAGCGTGGAGGTAGAGCGAACTTTCAGCAGGAGTTGGTAGGTCTCCAGACTTCGGTGAAAAACATCTAAACAAGGATGGTGGTGACAGTTGCGGGGAAGAATGGGCAGTTGGTTGTGGCAATGGATTGATTTTTGAGGAGCAAGTGGAGTCACATATAACTCTAAAGTTTCAAACTTGATCAGTAGGAAAAAACTGATCCATTGACAGAAATGGGTGAATTCAGAGGGGAAATTGATTTTTTAGAGATTATATTAATTCATTCTGGAGATCTATTGTACAGCATGGTAACTATACTTAATAATAGTGTATTATATACTTGAAAATTGAAAAGAGAGTAGATATTATATGTTTTTACCACACACACACACACACAAACCCAAAACAACTGTGAGGTGATGGCTATCTTAATTAGCATGATTGTCATAGTCATTTTACAATGTATACATATATCAGAACATCATGTTGTATACCATAAATATATTTAATATTTATGTGTCAATTATACCTCAATAAAGCTGGAAAAAAAGAAAAAATATATGCAATGTTAGGTATGCCTAGTTTGAGGTGGCAGTCATAAGCAGTTACAAATTTGGGAATGCTAGTTAGGGCTAAAAATGTAAATTTGTAAGTATTCCTACATATATTGAAAATAAGATTTGAAAGAAAGCAAGAGAGCCAGCAAAAAAAAAAAAAAAAAAAAAAAAAAAAAAAAGGGAGAGAGAGAGATCAATCTATCCATTGCATTTCCTACCCTTTAGGTGACTAAAATAAAAAAAAATGGGGAAAAGAGAGACCATGAGTAGAGACTGCAATATAAAAAAAAAAAAAAAAAAAAAAAAAAACAACCCAGAATGGGCTGGCTGAAAGGATAGAAGATAAATTGGGATGAGGAAGTATGAACATAACCAAGAAAATAGAGTGATCTCAGAAGCAAGAATGCACACAAAATGAATATGGGAAAAGGGTTTTAGATTTGGTGATTTGGAGATCACTGTTTATGTTACTGGCGTAGGCCCTTGGGCTTTCTATGTAATAGAAATTATTAATAGTAAGAGGCCAAAATGGGAGTCACAGGCAAGGCTTTATTGAGGTTAGAACACAAGGGAGACAGCACAAAGGAAAACTCTTCAGTCTGGCTCATGGAGGGGAATTCAGGGAGAGTTTTAAAGAGGCTTAGATGGGAAAAGGGGTGTTGTCTAAGCATGTAGAAGTTGAGATTGTCTTGTGCCTGTGTAGTTCTGTTACGTGCTTTCTCATGTGTTCTGTGTCTCATTAGCATGTTAAATCTCTACCCCAGGCATGATTTTTAGCATTAAAATGAGATTATAATGAGGGAAAAGTCAGGGTAAGAGTAGCAATGGGGGTCCTTTTTGGCTTGAGGTGGTCAGATCCATACAGGTCTGGTTTCTTTGCAGCCAGGTTCCTTATCAGCTAGTGTCAGCATCTTGCTTCAGTGGTCTTGGAAAACATTACTCCAGAGACAGATAGATGGCTTGGCCCTGTCCTTTTAAGGGTATGGGCTGAATTCCAGTGGGTAGGAGTTAATTTACTTTTTTTTTTTTTTTCTTCTTCTAAAGTTAATTAAGCTGGGTCATGCTGTCCAATGTTGCCTCCCTTGGTCAGAAATCAGGCCTGAGTCCTGTCTGTATAGTGTCTCAGTTTCTTTTAAGGTTACAACTTTTACTAGTAGAGAGGACACAAGGCCCACTTTAGAGTAGTAAAGGGTCATGGAGGTAGAGCCACCCTTTTAAGAAGGTCAACAGTGAGTCACAGTGAGAAAAAGCAGGATTGTATCTTCAGGAGACGATAGTAATAATTTTGTTATTAGTTATCTATATTTGTGCATTGAATCTTGTGCCTCCTTGAAGGCAGGAATGATGTTATAGGCTGCTTTTTTTTTTTTTTAATCTCTTAATATAGGATCCTACCCATGGAAGGCAAATGTATTCAATATATAGTTTAGGGATTTTTTAAAGATAGGAAGAATTCTCCTTTTTTACATAGAAGGGAAGGGGTCAAAAGTGAGAGGAAGATTAGAAAAGCTAGAAATATCAAAAGTACCTGAGAATACCTGTCCCTAGTGTTGGTGGCAGGGGTAATAGAAGGCACAGAGGCTGGAGAGGGAGATCTAGATAAGTCTTTGACTCTGGATGCCAGAATAAAAGTTTAACCCTAGGTAGATGGCTTTGTGAGCTTGGGCAAGTTACTTAACATCACTCTGAACTTTAGTTTTTAGTAAAATAATAATAATAGTATTTATCTTAAATACTTTTGAAGAATAAATGAAATAGTGCATGTAAAGTATCTACAATAGTATCTAATACAAATGGTAAATCTTAGTAAGTATTAATGATGATAATAGTGGACCACAAGAAAGGCTCAGAGATTGCGAATTCGTAATAGGACCAACTACTTTAGCACCAATTGGGAAAATAGACCTTAAAAGAAAATCATATCATATTGAATTGAATCGGGCTGGAAATTCCATAAAACATATTTTCTTATGTTTCAATCAAAATGAATTAAAACATTTTTATTTTTTTCTTATTGAAGAGGTAATGTAAATTCATTGCATAAAGTTTAGATAATACCTTCTCACAAAAATGAATAAAAATACAATTTACCCTTCAATAACTCGGGAGTTAGGGGTGCTGACCCCTGTGCAATTGAAAATTCTCATATAAGTTTTGATTCCCCCAAAGCGTAACTACTAATAGCCTACTGTTGACCAGAAGCCTTACCTATAACATAGTCGGTTAACACATATTTTGTGTATTACATGGATTAGATACTATATTCTTATAATAAAGTGAGCTAGAGAAAAGAAAACGTTATTAAGAAAATCATAAGGAAGAGAAAATATATTTACTATTCATTAAGAGGAAGTGGATCATTATGTAGCTCTTCATTCTCATCATCTTCATGTTGAATAGGCTGAGGAAGAGGAGGAGGAAGAGGAGGGATTAGTCTTGCTCTTTTGGGGGTAGCAGAGGCAAAAGAAAACCCATGTATAATTGTACCGTCACAGTTCAATTCTGTGTGGTTAAAGGGTCCACTGTAATCTGTCATCATACCCATTCAAAATCTAAATCAGATACTCTGTGTCCTGTAGGAACTTTCCACTTAGGTCAGCTACTCGCTCTCCCCCAGAAGGTATATTCTATATGAATTCTGAGTAATGTTTTATTTTTTATTTTCAGTAGTTTCATTTACTACAAATAGTTTCATTTGCTTGTCATGCAGTTTATTTGCTATCTTAAACTGAGAGAATAGACTTGTGATCTTGGGAGTATGCACATAATTTAATAAAAACCAAATTGAGAATAGATACTAGAATTTACTATAGAGTCTGAATGTAATAAATATATGATTGTGTCATGCCTTTTTCTATAATGATATGATAGCATGAAAATGTCTTTTATGAGATGAAAGTTTGAGAACTGCTGTTTTATAGAAAGAAATCAGAAACTGTAAGGTTGTGTTTTATTATATATTTTTGAACTTTGGAAGTGGTTTTAAGCTTTTTAATTTTACCAAAAGCCTTCTATAAAAAGTATAAAGAAAAGATTTTTACTTTAATTGAAAATAACCTTAAGCTTATATACACTTACCAAATGATTAAACATTTTGGTTATCTTTTGATGACTGTACTCATAGTAACTTGACTGCTTTTGCAGTTGTGTAATAAGAGCTTAAATAACTTAAACAATAAAACCACCCAATCCTGTGGATATGAGAGCTTAGGATTCATTCATTTCCAGCATCTTCCAAACCATCTTGCCTCACCTAGAATTGTCTAAATCCAACAGGGCATGTGCATCAATAAATACTCTCCTATTTTCATTTGCTCAGCTCTGCTATTTTAGAATAAATGTAGCAAAATCTATTTATAATTGAAAAAAACTATTTATAATTGGATTTTATTTTATTTTTCAGTTTACAGACAGTAGGTTGCATGCCTCCTCCTGTATCTTCTGCAGTGATTTTAACCAAGGCAGTTGGTGGAAATGAGGTGAGTCGTGGGGGCTAACTTTACTTAAACATAAGTGCATGCTGAGCTTTTATTATGTTCAAAACTATATTTTGTTCAAAACATAGTTTTGAACATGAAGGAGTCATGTCATGGAAAACTCATACCCATAGCAGCTTATGAAAGAAGCAGCTGTATTCACATAGTAAGATGATGCTAAAATTGATCATGATTAGTGGAATTTAGGATTTCAAAGAGAAGAGCAAGGGAGATCAATGAAATAGAGATGGTGATTTTTTTCCACCTCAGTGGGAAATTGGAAAACAAAGGACATAGGAGTCCTAGGAAAGGGACTTTTCATCTAAGACTCGCAGACTGGCACTATTGGCCAGTCCTTAGTTTCTAAAAAGTTTGTAATCAACTAAATTGGTGGGAAAAGGTTCAGTATGTTTAATAGAAAGTGAAGATGATATAAAAAGGAGAAATTAGGCCAGGCTTCTATGATGAGGTCAAAGAAATTATTCAACTGCTAGGGGACTGGCAAAAGAATTGTATTTGTTTATCAAGGTATAGCAGTTGTCTGTTTCAGAAGCTATTTGTAGGTGGTTCTTCCTTGGTTGAAAGGCCCTACAATTTCATGCTGAGGGACTTTTTCTGATCGCTTATTCCTCCTTTTCTACCTATATTCTCTCCTTTAGAAAAGGATACTGTTGAATGAGGGAAGATGTAATGGGTTCCCGCTTCAGTTCATGCTTAGGATTTTGTGTTCTTGCCATCTATTTTCATTTTCATCCACTTTATGCTTTCCAAAAATATTTCTTGAGTACCTGCTATATTCTTTTTTAAACAGGTTTATTGAAGTATCATTGACATACAATAAACTGTATGAATTTAAATAGTTTAATGCTTTGACATATGTATACACTTGTGAAATCATCACCACAATCAAGATAGTGAACATATCTGTCTACCTTAGTCATTTTGCATTGCTATAGAAGAATACGCAAAGCTAGGTAATTTATAAAGACAGAGGATTATTTGGCTCACAGTTCTGGAAGCTGTACAAGAAGCATGGTGCCAGCATCTGTTTCTGGTGGGGACCTCAGAAAGCTTCCAATCATGGTAGAAGGCAAAGGGGGAGCAGGAATGTCACATGGTGAGAGAAGAGGCAAGAGAGAAAGGAGCGGGCAAGAGAAAGGGAAGAAGGAGCCAGGCTCTTTGTAACATCCTGGTCTCATGGGAACTAGTAGAGTGAGAACTCACTCATTACTGGGCGGAGGGCACCAAGCCTTTCACGAGGGATCTGCTGCCCCCATAACTCAAACACCTCCAGCCAGGCCTCACCTCCAAAATTGGGGATCAAATTTCAACATGAGATTTAGAGGAGACAAATATCCCAACTCTATCACCATCACCCTCAAAAGTTTCCTGTGTCCCTTTGACATCTCATCATCTGCCTTTCTTAGCACTCCTCTTCCCCAGGCAACCACTGACCTGCTTTTTGTTACTATAGATCAGTTTGCATTGTATTTTCTAGAGTTTTATATAATGGAGTCGTACAGTATATATATATATATATGTGTATATATATATATACACACACACAGTCGTACAGTATATATATATATATATTTTTTGTCTTGTCTGGCTTCTTTTACTCAGCATAATTATTTTGAGATTCATCTATGTTGTATTTATCAATAGTTCAATCCTTTTTATTACTGAGTAGTAGTATTTTGTATAGATATACCGCAAATTCACCTGTTGATGGACATTTGGGTAGTTTCTAATTTTTGGCTATGAACATCCATGTACACATCTTTAAGTGGACATATGCTCTCATTTCCCTGACAAGGCATGGGAGTGGAGTGGCTGTATCATCTGACAGGTGTAAGTTTTAATACCTTTCAAGCAAGGAAGAATTGTTTATAAATACAGATCTCCTATAAATAGCTTCTGATGTGGACAATTTCTGTCAATATATAAGCACTTTTCTTTTACCACATATGTATGTTTAATTTTTAAAGAAATAGCCAAACTGTTTTCCAAAGTGGTTATACAACTTTATATTCCAACCAGTAATCCACATCCTAATCAACAATGGGTCTTGTATTTTTAATTTTTGCCATTCTAACATGAATGTAACAATATCTCATTGTGGTTTTAATTTAATTTCCATGTCCCACTGACTGATAATGTTGAGCATCTTTTCATGTGCTCGTTTGCTATCCATATATCTTCTTTGATGAAATGTCTATTAAATATTTTGCTTGTTTTTTAAAGTTGGGTGGTTTGTTTACTTATTGATGAACATTGAGAGTTTTATATATTCTAGATATAAGTAGCCTGTGACTTGTCTTGTCATTTTCTTACCAGTATCTTTTGAGTAGCAGGGCAGTAGTAGCAGCAGTAAAGGTGATTGGATTCTGGGTGTATTTTGAAGGTATAGGATATGCTGATGAACTGGATGTGGAGTATGAGAGAAAAAGAGGAGTCAAGAATGACTTCAAGGGTTTTGGCTAAGCAGCTGAAAATATGAAGTTGCAGATCTGGAGAAGAGTTCTGTGTGTAAACAGGTTTGGGGACTATTAGCCTGGGGAGGATAGGCTATGTTGGGATCACTGAGAACTCTAAAATCTCAGTGGCTAAATATATATATTTCTTGCTCATGGTACCTGTCCCATGTGGGTCTTGGGAAGGTCATTTGAAATCCCTAAGGAAGCCTGGTTGATTGGAGACTCTACCATCTTGTAGGTATACCATCTTCATGGAACACAGAGCATTTACAGTTGCCACAGCAGAGGGAAAGATCGGAGAACCATAAATGGGCTTTTCACTGGCCAGGCTGGCAGTGATACATGGCACTTCTGCTCATATTCTGGCCAGAATAAGTCATATGGCCTTACCACATATTGTCATTCATGTGCCCTTAAGGAGAGGAAAACTGGATATTGGTGAACACTTGTAATGTCAGCTGTATGAGTAAAGATCAAAAGTTTGTTTTTATGATGGGTTAAGATGCCTATTATATAAAATATCCAAGTAGAAATGCTAACTAAGAATTAGAGATTAGAATTGGTAGTTCAGGTCTAAATTGAAGATATAAATTAAGGAATCATCAGTGAAAAAATGGTATTTAAAGCCAAAGTTGGAGGAGATTACTTGGAGAGAGCGCATAGATATAGAAGAGAGGAGGCTCAAGGACCTCCATTCAGGCTCAGGGAACCCTTTAAGAACATTAAGAATTTAAGGAACTGAGGCATAACCAGCAAAGGCAACAGCGAAAGCCTAATTAGTGAGATACAAAGAAAAACAGCAGAACATGGTGTTGAGGAAGCCAAGTGTCCTAGAAGCCAGGTGAAGGAATTGTTTGAAGGAGGAGTTTCTGATCAGCTATATAAAATTATGCTAATATAAGTTATGTAACATAAATTCTGAGAATTAACCAATGAATTATGCTGCATAGAGTTATTGGTAACCTGACCAGAGTGGAGCACTGGGGCAAAACCTTATTGGAGTGAACTCAAGGAAAAATGGGAAAAGAAGAATTAGAGACAGGAGATCTGTTTTAAGGTTCTTTGTGATAAAAAGGAAGAGGGAAATGAGAAGTGAGGCTTTATTTAGAGGGAGATATGGAATCAATTTTTTTTCTATCATGATGAGAATGGTACCGTAGAGAGGAAACTATTGATATGAGAGTGCTGAAGTAATATATTTGATTAAATGAGAGAGAATGGTGTCGGGTTGTAAGGGTTTCAGTAAGAGCTTGGACCATTTATTCATAACAATAGGAGGGAAGGCAGAATGTGTGGATATAGACGCACGCAGATGGCTACAAGGGGTGCACTTGGGAGTACTCTTCTGATGACTTTATTTTCTTAGTGAAGTAGGAAGTAAGGTCAGCATCTGAAAGCGATGATGGGGTAAGTAGTAGTAATGTTTGAGAAGAGAGGAGACAGTGTGCAATTACCATCGAGATGAGGAGGGTCAATTAACTTGGGAGTATGGTAGGGTTGCCAGGCAGCACCGAGGACCCGGCTACGATCTGCAGACATGTGTTTAAAGTGAAGCCAGTCATTGTGGTCGTGTGTCTTCTCTTAGCCCCATTTAGATTCTTGGTGTAGCTAGCCAAGAAGCTTTAGCTTCTTAGCCCCATCTAGCTTCTTGGATTTAACCAAAGGTTTCATTACACCAAGTAGTTATTTCTATTTGCCACATAGTTAGTGAGATAGAGGAGTTATAGGAGCTTTGGACTAGTGCCCACAGTTAGGGTGGAAAGCCTAGTTAGGTGCTCACAGCATGGGTAGAGAATGATTTCTCACGCAGAGACTAAGATATAAAATTTAAAAAGTGTACTTTACCATCTCAGAAGGATAGAGAGAATGAGAGAGTGAAAGAGAAAGGGAAAGGGGTGGGGACAAGAGAGCAGGGAGATGGCTAGCATCCCAAAGAAAGAGAAGGGGATGCCAGCATGAGGCCAAGTGGCTCGCTGATTTTCAGGGGGACAAAGAGAAGAAAAATAGCAATGGCAGTTGATAACAATAGTGACAGCAAGATGTCAAAGTCCAAGACTTGGTTTCCTATGGTTTCCTGTCTTTCCTTGGAGAAGTCATCACAGGAGATGTGGTTGAGGTTATAGCTCATTCTCCTGCTCTTTACTCAGGAACTCTGTAAAAGCAGATTCTCAAAAAACAATTTTGAAAGAAAAAGATTTATAACTCTTTTCCATCCATTCAGCTCTTTTCAGAAGTTGTGCAAAACCGAACTCCTGCAGGGTTCCTGTTAGTGAGAGAACTCATAGGACTGATCTTTAATCGTTACTAGAGAAATTGTGTCATTAGGTATTTTCCTGTAATTTTTTGCAAGGTTGTCTCTTTCACCCACTATGGTTTTCTTTTTATTACCTTGAAAGAATTTGAGGAAAGAGTCTCTTTTGGAATATCTAAGACTGGTGTTAATTGGCTCAAAGGTGTCATTTATCTTTTTCTTTCTAATGTGATTCCCTTATAAGCTATAGTGATTTAAAAGACTCCTTTTTTTGT